ACACAGCGGTTGAAATAAGTATTGAACGCGCCACCATTTTTCTCAGTAAATATATGTTTTTAGAGGTGCTATTGACATGACACTTTCCCCAGATGTAGGTAACAGTGCATTTAGGGCTGAAACAATTAATAGGATTAATCGTTTATTGAAATAATCTTCAACTAATTTAGTAATCGATTAATCGTTAAATGGAGTGTGAAGAGTGTAAAACAACCTTAACTGATAGAGTAACTCACTATTAATCCTATCAAAACTGTAAAAAGATATATAATGATTTTGCATTTAGGATTAAAAATTTTTTTTACATCTGTCAATATGCTCTATCCAATACTCCTCAAGTGGAAATGTTTTAGTTTCACCTGGTTTAATTTTGTAAAAAAAATTGTCTTTAAGGAAACTTTGGCTATCCAATTATTAATGGATTCATCAAAAGAAATAATTGACAGAATAATCGATTTGTAACATAATTTGCTTCAGGACTTAATCCATTCAGTCCACACATACAAAGAAATCAAACCATAGACCATAGATGTCCAGAAATTATGTAAAATAATGTGAAATGGCACATCATCAGAGATGAGCATAAAGTGAGTCACCACATGGAAAGCTGTAATAGACAAGAACAGGACCAATTGCCAACACTAAAAACCACAGAAAGTTGTAAAGTTGACTCCCAATGATTTATTGTTGATCTTTTCTAACTCACACATGGCTAAAATGATGTATAAATCTTCATATATATAGTCACACATACACCTACATCTTGTAATGAGTTATGCAATCCAAGTGGAACAAGAAAAAAATGTAACTTTATTGATCTCACAATGGAGAAATTAACTGTCTGCATTTAACCCATCACCTTTGGGGAGCAGTCGGCTGCCATTGTGCATCGCCCGGGGAGCAGTGTGGGGTTAAGGGTCTTGCTCAGGAACCCAGAATGGAGGCTGTGGGGATTGAACCGGGTACTTGCAACCTTCTCAGAGCACAAACGCACTGCTCTAACCACTAGGCCGACATTCCACTTTTTCTTTTCTTTTTCTTTTTTTTTAAAGAAAGAAATTGAACTTTACTAGACCAATGACATTAATTTGTTGTACGTTATCATGATCTGGTGTTGCTTTGGTTTCTGTTGGTTAGCTATTATTTCCCAGCACTGGTTGCTCAATGCTCAGAATAGAAATAAAAGATTTAAAAAAAATGACGGAAGAAACCTTATAAGCCATTTTATGACCTCAGTGGTTATAAGTATGCTTTTAGGATTCAGGGTAAGGTGTTTCAAACCTAAAAAATACTGTATCAAATAGGGCTCGTAGTGGCAGCATCATGCTGTGGGGTTACTTTGTTGCTAGTTACCCAATATTTTAAAATTCCCTCAGATAAAAATCTAGATCATTCAATATGGTGTTTCAACAAATTAAAGCAGGACATGATCAGAGGCCCATCATGTAAAAAAAATAAAATAAAAAGATGTGAACCGTACACAATAGCTGGGGCTGTGCAAAGAAGACTGATCAAACATCAGGCCAGAATTATGCAATTTTATGATGTTTTTTTTTTTTTTGATGGCTTAAAAAGAGTATGTGGTTAAATTGGAGTTTGCTAAACGAAATCTAACCTGATATTAGTGCGGGTGTACAAATATATTTGAGCCTGCACGTTTCTGTCTTTTCTTTGTTTATTGTTCATTGATTAAAGCTGTCTGTTGTAAGTTGTTCCCCTTTAGGAAAAAAAAACTTCCTTTAAATCCTGAAAAGCTCAGGCCATCTAACTGGAGCTGTAACTGGTTGTTTGATTTCAGAGGGAGTTGTAAATTCTGCAGGTGTGTTTGATGACATCATTGCACACTTACATTTATAACCAAAGACGCATTAACTTTTTTTTCCTTCTGGCTCAATAAAGGTAATAAACTGACATCACCTTGTGAAAACTCTTTTGTCACTTATGCAGTTAGATAATAAAAAAATCATGGTTAGAGATAACATAAAGGTGAGAAAGTTTTTCCCCTGAAAGACTTCTTTTTTTTTTGCATTTTGTTGTACCCAAATCAAACAAGTCAAACTTGTGAAGATGAAATTAGTAAGTGCAAAACAAAATGTATGGTCTCCCCTGCACACAGGTTTTCTTCTGTGAATACTCAACATACTAAAACTACCCATACTGCACATCAAATATAACCAATATATATGCTGAATGCACTTACTTTACTGCTTATTGCATCTCTGCTTTAATGCTAAACTACAGGTCACTGCTCTGTACCTGCACATGTGTGATGAAAATAAATTCTATCTAATGTAATCTAATCTGATCAATGTGTTGCTTTGCTTGACTTTTTATCATCTCGTAGTAAATGTAGACAGATTAAACAGTTAAAAAATATAATGCACAAACCTCAGTTAAAAAACCCAGAAGACAGCTCCACATGATAAAACTCAGGATGAACTTAAAAGTCTCCTCCACCTTTATTTGACAGCCCTGGAGAAGAAAAATGTTAGAGAATAAAACCATAAAAATACTATTCCACAAACAGCTTCAGCTTAAATGTCTGAATTTACCGTGCTTTATGTACCTCAGAGTAAAGTTGCCAATACTGATTCACGCTGCCAGTACATGACACAAAGGTAGAGTTACAGCAGCTGCGAGGAAAAAGTTTTCCACCCGTGTGATTGAACCAAGAGGTGTCCAACCAGTCGGTGTAATTGCTGACTCCACAACATTGGAGCTGATAGAGATACAATATATGAAGTCAATCAAAACATTTCAAATAAGGTTTTGATGATGGAACACTTTGGAGAACTTCTTGGATCCCTCTGAACAGATAAATGGTTATTTATTTTCCTAAATAGGAATGTCCCAAACTGTTGTTGATATCAGAAATTGGTCTGAGGTTTTCCAAACAAAGAATATTGGAAAATTTTGGCTTTTATCTAAAAACTACGATATAAGCAAGCTGATGGAAACACTGTTCTTCTTTCTGTTCCTGTATACATTTTATGTAACCCATAGGTCAATAATAAAGGTCAGTTGTTCGCATACTGTCATCTACACTACAAAATGAGAATAAAAATAATAACAGTATATTGAATGAGTTTCCCTAAGTTTTGAAAAGAGCCGTCCTCTCCACTTCAAATGAAAAATGCAATGCATATGCATGCTTTTGCAGTGTTGTTGACAAGTTGCTGTTTGCATCGCTCATACAAGCTTACTTTCCAAAAGAAGATTTGCAATTTTTCCAATCTTACGACCCTTGGCCATTTTCAAAGAACAAAGGTGAGAAACGAGAGCTTCAATGCTGAAACCGTAGTTTACCACAGATATACACCTGAAAGTGTGCATGCTCAGGAAAAGAAAGCTATCTAGGGAGAAGCACGTAGCACGGCCTTACATAAACAAATCACAAGAATGATTGACAATTACTAGGAAGACCACTTATTTACATGATACACCTGGAAAAGAAAATCTTCCCCTATACCATTATTATTATCAATTATAGCAAACAATGAAATGTAAATCAAACATTAAGAAGACATTAAACACATTCATTTTCTTAACTGTGACCATTTGAGGTTGTGAATTATTACATGACAAACATATTAAGGCAACAAACATGAATATGTTTGAATACGAATGTTTTCTGTTTTTTAAGAGCTACACACCTCCTTTTGAGTTGCATCAACAGTCTGAGAGTTTATGTCCTGACTGCTGCCAGTGTATTTCTCAAACACCTCGCTGAGAGACGCTGTCTCAGAACCCATCTGAAAAAGAGAGAGGGAAGAGAAATTGAATTTTTGTTTTTTAATTAGGAAAAAGTATGAGCTTTTGTACAGGAGGAATACCTTTCTAAAATGAACGTAGGCCAACGCAGAGGCGGTGCTTCCCAGGCAAAAGATCACAACTAGCAGATACACAAACTTGAGAAGAAAGCGCATTAACAAGTGCATGCAAATATCTGGTAATCATGCAGTTAAAGGGGTAACCCTATAAGGGGCTGTAAGGGGCATTATTCTGAATGTGGTCTCATACTCAGAGCTGAAACACTCTCACACATGCTACTGAAATGTTTTACATTTATTTCAATTCAAATGGGGGGGTGCTTTGATAGAAATGGAAGGGGGAAAAAGTTGTATGTTAAGATGAACCAACAGCAGCTCAGCGGCTAGGAAGAAGCTTAAAAGAGGCAGTGGAATAAGCATTTGTAAATAAGGATGCTTATGATTCCAGGAATCATCATTTTAAACTGCATTGCCTGCACTTTAAACACCATTACCTAAAGTTTAAAAAGACTGTATTTTGATAGGATACATGAAACCAAGATGTGTTTGTATTTGTTTGTCATTTTTTTCTCACTCCAATCATTATTTTCTGATATAAAACTTAAGCATAAATTCATTCTGGAAGACTCTTATCAGCTTCACCTGAACCACATGCGATGTGCCGCATTCAGCTCGAGCCGATCAACTCAGGGGCCGCATCTTCCCTGAGGCCATCTTCCAAGGTCCCCTTCATTTAGCTCCTGACCCAGCTTCTCCTCCCTCATTCTCAGTCCCACTCTATTCCTTCTCTATGTTACTCATCCAAGCATATGTTCACAGCATCAAAGTCTTCTGCCAGGGCGCGAGCGCCAAAGAACTTATTCCGTTCATGTTCTCATCTGCTTCCGTCTCCTTGAACCCCAGTCGGCCTCAGCAGATGACCACTCACACTGAGCCTGGTTCTGATAAATTGAATATTTTCTAAATGCAACTTCTCTCTGTGTGAGTCTCTCCAGGTTGAAATATTTTGCAATGAAAAGGAGGTTGAACTGTTTTTCTTAGAGCTTGTCAATGCATTGAGAATCTACAGAGAGGAGATTTGACACATATTTCTCATAACAGGCTTTTAGGAAAACTTGATTACCATAGAAGAAGATTATTAATGTTTCATCGTTTCAGTAGTGTTAATAAGAGTGTTTCAGTAGTATGTATGAGTGCAAATTCAGAATAATATCCCCCATATAACCTCACCAGTCCTTGTAGACAACGGGAGTCCTTGAGGCTCAGCCATGTACCAAGGAAGCCGGTGCAGAGCAGAAACGCAGCACTGCAGAGTGTAAAAACGGCTGAAAGGATGATATAATTCTGAGAAAAAAATAAGCTGTAGTGTCTGTGCGTCATCAGAAGGTAGATTCCACCCATGGCCAAAACAAGCCCCACCACCTTGCAAAGTGAAAAAAAGATAAACATTGTATTAATACCATCTTGGGGCACATCCTTAAAAGCCATGACCACAGATAAACTTGAAAGCATAGCTTCCTTTCTTTGATTTTAGGAAGCAAGCTGTTTTTGTAAACAGACCCTTATCATGCTATAGAGGGGCTAAAATGTTGCCTCCTATACAATCACATCAACACGTCTCTTTGGGGTATTTGAAATTCTGCATTTGGTCACAGGAAAATGACACAGTCACTTCTGCCTGTGTTAGGGGCAGATCACTGTGAATGTTAAAGGAAAAATATTTCATCAAACTATTTCACTTAAACAACAAAATCTGAGAAAGTTGGTTGTGCATTTGTATCCTTTCCCCTTTATTCCTTACACTACCAAATAAAATCCAACATATAAATTAAATCAGCATCTTAATTGAACTGTTATTGATCATAGTATAAACGTCTTTGAAGGCTTTCCTGCCTTAAAAAGAATGGACGGCAGGAAAGATTTCCTCAACAACCGTTCCCAGCGAGTGAGAGTAAACGGCCATCATTCTGGACTGTCTTTCATATCTACAGGCTCTCCTCACCACTTCTCTACATCCTCTACACTGATGGCTGTCGTTCTGAAACCGACATTTGCCACATTGTCAAGTTTGTGGACCACACTGTCATTGTGAGCTTGCTGGAGGACAGTGAAACAGCACATGGCCCCATCGTGGACTATTTCACAAACTGGTGCCAGGAAGCCATGCTGGAACTGAATGTCACTAAAACAAAGGACATGTGTATTGATTTCAGGCACAACACCTGCAACCCATCTACAACCAAATGGGCAAGACATTGAAATTGGGTCTATTATAGATGACAAATTAACTTTTAACAGCAACACAGACAGACTAAAAACCTGAATTATGTTGGGATCTGGAGATCTGCCACCTGTCTCCAGCAGAGAGCGCTATGGGTCTCCTGAGCTGGAGCCTCCTGCACACCTGAGGATCATCAGCCCATCAGGAGACTAGCTACATAAGCAGCGGCCAGACCTGTCTTCAGCGCCGGAGTGTTGACCAGTTTTGGTTAGCAGAACCTGAGCCTCAGCCTGAACTTAGAATCTCTGTCTGCTCTGGAGAGTAACCCTGATCCTAACCAGTCTCTGTCTTCTCTGCTTCATAGGAAAACCTGATTGAAGTCTGTAGCTCTGGAGGAGCTCATGTTTGGAAACCTGCCTGCCTGCCCAGAAAGCCAAAGCTGAAGATCCTCAGTCTGTATCTCCCAGTTAGTTCTCAGGAGAGAACTAGGAGAACAACTCAAGGTCTGAACCTCACTAGCCTGAAGCTAAGCTCTGCCGCTGCTAAGCTCTCTGCTGAATCCACAGTCTCTGGACCCAACCGGTTCCCTCTCTCCACCGATCAGTCTGAACCTCATCAGGTACAAATCAGCATCAAAACTCTGTCAAGACATCACTGCTACCTGGCTAACCAAACAATCCCTCTCTGCAGATTACTCTGTGAAACCAAGTCCCGGACCAGTACCAGAACCAGTGCAATCCTTTACTCTGTGTGTGTTTATCTAAATAAACTGTTTGAATTTTTTACTCCCGTTTCCGGTGTGTGTTCTGCATGTGGGTTTAATCAGAGTCCCATCATGACAGATTAACTTTCACTGCAAAGATTGGTTAATCCTAGTGATCTGGTACAAACAGAGTTATACTATTATCATATAAAATGCCCAGAGGACCGTGACCAGTTATGCATTATGGGTGAAAAGCATCTGATGGCCAAGATTCTGTAGAGTACGGAGTGTACACTGCTGCAGGCCAGTAATCGCTCTTTCAGGGTTAAACATGTTTTCACCCTGGATTTTAGAAAGGAGTAAAGGATGCAAGTTCTTGAGGAGAAACCATCCATCATTGAACAGGGTGAAAAGTCCTCTGATCCAACTCTCCCCTTTTTAATGCTGTTATTCTGAGCCTGATTGAGCTCTCTGGAAATAACAAGCAGTCATCCGAGCACTAGTGATTGGTTGTTAGGCTGTAGGTCGTTTTTGCATGAGAGCAACCCGTTTTTGATCTTCACGATTAATTTCTCAATGAACAATGCAAGAAAATCTTGTAAGGCTGAGTTTTACCTGTAACTCCTCAGGTTGAAGAATTATTATTTAGATGAGACAAAAATATTCAGAAGGAAAAACTTGTAAGATGGAAAAAAATATATATATATTTGATAAATACCAGAATAATGAGTAAGATTTTATTTTCTAACTTTCAGTTGAAAAAATACCGATGGAATTTTGGCCCATTTTGACCAAACTGTTGGAGATGACCACTAACATTTAATGGTACTGAGATCAGAGCTTTGTAATGAAAACATCTGATGTCATTAAACTTCTTACAAAATAGCTTCAATTCAATTATGCAATTATATATGTATATATATATATATATATTGTGTATATATATTTATATATATTTATATTTGCAAAAAATCTTTTGTTGCAGCCCTATTTAATATATTAATATATTATGAACTTATATTTATATATATATAGTTCAAATATTAAATAGGGCTGCAATGAATTATTAATCTGTTGCTTATTTTTTCAATTAATAATTAAAAAAGCAAAAGGTTGCTTTTGATGCTGGCTTGTTACACAACCTTTGCATTTTTGAACAAAATATTAGTATAAAGGATGGATAATTCAAAATTGTAGTAGCCTATCTTTGTATTGTGATTAAAACTGTTAGATGTGCACCTTCTCCTGAAAATGTTACCCAAGGTTGCAAAACAGTTGCTCAGATGCACAGTTCTCTTCCTAATATTCCGACTGATATAGGCCTTTTCTGATGTTTTCCCCTTGGAACGGTGCTCACGACATATGAATTTGCAAGGAAACTTGATATTAAAAGCTTATAAATCCACATGAACTCCCACAATTTTTAAGAAACAAATTGTTTACTTGGTGGATATAAATTCTGGATTGTGAAGAAGTTATTTTGAAAAATAAATCTAATTCACCTGCTTTCATCAAACACAAACAGATTTAGTTATTTGACAAAATACAGAAAACTTTTAACTCTCTTTATTTAGAAACAACGAGTAAAATCAATGTTCTGTTCTATATGTAAAACATCTGGTTTCAGCTGCTTCTATTTCCTTCTGCTTTACGGTAATGCACTTTTTTGTTTGTGTGTCATAATAAAAAGTTTTGGGTTGTTGGGTGATGTTTCCATTTGCTTATCAGATCCCATCCAGATGATTTAAACAGGTTAGGAAACCATTTTTGTGTGCCTTTTTCTTACATTAAGCTGCCGCTCACATGATGAGCTGATTGTGTCATATGACAGATGAGTCAACAATGAAAGCTGTGGCTTGATTGCACACTTATAAATAGATAAAAGCAACATTTCTCTCTGCTTTTTGAAAAATTGGTTTTAGTTTTATTGTGAGTGAAATATTTGGAAAAGGAACAAGAGGCACATATACAGTATAACGCTTAACTGCTCATCTTTATGTAAAGAAAGGTCTATTTTTGATATAATGAAAGAAAGAGTAAAATAAAGAGCTTACCCACAGAAGCTGACATATCAGATGAAGTATTGTTTTAAGCGTGTTTCGTTTCAGACAACACATCCTTTAATTATAGGGTCTCCAAGCAACTATCTACATGACCTGCCGATGTGAGAAATGCAGGAAGATAACTACAGCACTCCTTTGCATAAAAAACACCTGGTTTAGAGGGAGTGGACTCTGTTATGGTGCCGTGGGTCAATGCAAACTTCCTTTTCTGCTTTTTCAAATCAGAAACCTTCCCCATAAGTGCGGGAATTAAACCCACCAGGTTTAATATAGACTTTTCCAGAGTTCATAGAAGAAGTGAAAATAGCTGATCCCCCTTTTTTTCGTTATTAAGATAAATAATTGTGTTAAGTTATAAATTCTAAAGTCTAAATTCTCGAGTGTGAGATCAACAGCGCCCTCTAGTAACTTAAATGAGAAAGTGAATCCAAAGAACAGCTAAATGATATGACATAACTATCTATTCTGTGGCATAATTTACTGTATTGAATTAAAACGATGAAGTTTGCGATGGTACCTTCAAGAAAAAAAAAAGATTTTCCTCTACAATATTTTATTTATTTATGCATTATGAAATGTACTGATCAGAAGTGTCACCAAATAATAGGACTCTCTGTAACGAAGAATTATTAAAACTGGAAATCGAGAATCTCTGGACATTTATTTCAAAATATATGAAAAACCATAACAAAGTTGTTTTAATAGGAATAAAATAATACATCACTGCAAACATCTCCATGATATGAAATGGGATAAAGCTCCTTAATTAACCAAAATAGGATTCTACCACAATGTTTATTAATGATTGATAAACGTTGTAAAGCTCACTTTAAACTCCATGCTGTTGTAAAGTGTGTTTTCATTATAATCTAGAATGGTTTCTGATTCTGAACAGTTAATTTTTTTATGTGAGCTTCCTTTCATGAGGTGCAGAATAATTTGTAGTGGACATAATTAATAACATGCTTTGTACTCTGATTTCATTAAAAACATGATTAGAATGTGATCTTTACTGATAAAGATTAAATTAATACTTTTCTAGTTTCTCCGTTTTACAGTATGTTCCACCGATTAAGCTCTCCAGCTCAGCAAAATCTTCACACATAGAGTCATTGACATTGAGACATTGTCCAAAATGTATGCTGGCTTCATTAACCTCTAATGATAATCACCTAGACCAGGGTTCTTTAGTTCTGGTCCTCGAGGTCTGTTGTCCTACACCTTAGATGTTTCTCTGTTTCCACACACATGAATCAAAGGGCTATGATCTCCTTAGTCTGCAGTCCAGTTCTCCTGAGTCCTGCTAATGACCTGATTATCTAACTCAATTGTTGAAGCAGAGCTATGCCTAAAAGATGCCGAACAACAGACCTCTAGGACCAGAAAAGAGGAACCCTGACCTAGATCACCATCTCTAATGAAAATTCTTATGAAGGGATGTTTTGATTTAGTTTCCTGAATAAGCATCATGTTAATTTTGTATATGCTAAATACAGAGGAAATACAAATGATTTCATTTCTGCTACAAACAACCAATAAATATAAGTTAAATTCACACATTTAACAGTAATTACATTAATGGGGTGAAAGAGAATGAAATCTAAATGTTCAGTATATGAAATTTAGAGTTCCTACTCCAGTAAGTCAACACTCTCTCTGCTCATGTAAGCAGTGGTGCCTGTCAGTCTCCTTAACACCACAAAAACAATCTAGAAATATGTAAAGATTTCATAAATTAACTGTATTTACCCTCAATTTGAGAAGCTAAATAAGATGATTTGCCAATGGAATGAGTATTTTTATTTTTAAAATAAGATAATTAGATAATATGCACTTAAAATAAGACAATGCAATGTTTTTTTTTTTCTTATTCTAAATTTACATTTTTTTGTTTCATTGGCAAAGTATCTCACTTGCCTCCTCAATTCAAGAAGAGGTGCACCTATTTTAAGATAAAACTGACTTATTTAGATTTCTATTTTTTGCACTGAGCCAAGCTGGCAGATCTGAGGGAGATCTTTTTTACAGATTTGTAACTCTGTGTGCAGGCCCACTATGCTTCCACAAACAGTAATAATATCCTGCCATAGATTCATTCATAGTCAGCGTGAACTGAGGCTGTGATCCACTGCTGCTAAAAGGCCTCTGCATCAGATGCAGAGGCCTCTGATGGCTGGTTTCATAAAACAGCAGGCTAGGAGGCTGTCCAGGTTTCTGCAGATACCAATTCAGATCATCATCAAGTCGACTAGATTTTAGAGTCAAATTAAATCTTGAAAACAGAAGATCCTAAATTAGAATTATATCTCCTAACTCAGCATGAAAATGGACTGTCAGTATTTGGAACAAGATCAGAAAGACCTTCATTTTTGATGTATGCAATAAAGTTAAATCATACACTGTGAAACTGAACCACACAGCTTATTGCTTTAATACAATCTGATGCTCTGGGAAGTGGGGCATCACCTTGTTTTCAAATTAGAACTGGAGCAGCGTATGTAGGGCTGAATGATTTTAATCAAAGTACAGCGAAGACTGGTACTGTCCTCTTGTGACATATATACATATATATATATACATTTATAACAGGGAAACCAGTGATTTAACATTTGGAAATTGAGTCTATATCACTGCTAGGTATGACCCTTCCCATGACACACATCTATGATAGACTTTCCAAATAAGACTAAAGGGACTACAAGACAAAAGCCTCTTCCTTATACACACTTATTCATTGCGACATACTGCATGGCTCATAGTTATGACCCACACTCAACCAATTTCTTGAAATTACAACCCAAATGACCCTTGTGTGTCATACATTGTGTACGTCTATTTCGCAGCTTTCTGTGCCAATGGCCTTGCCCTTTTTCTGTCCTTCAGGAGCCCTCATAGGCGTGAGCAATCAGTCTGGTGAGCCCCAATGTCACTTCTATGGGGGGCGGTTTTGGGGGCCACCCATTACCAGGGTTGCCTTACAAGGCAGTAGGTGGCCCCCCTTCAAAATTTCTTAAAAAATTTTTTAGTTGGCTCTTCTAACGTAGAGGCTTTATCTGCCATCAGTTTTTCTAATTTAAGATATTATATCAAAGAAATAATGTATTTTTTCTCTTCCAATTCCTGAAGTTGACCCTCAAATAATTGATTATAATATTTGGCAAATGTATTTGATACAGCTTTTGTGTCAGTTTCAACATTGTTGGAATGGAGATTTTTAATTTTAGGAATTATTTGACTAGCTTGTGTCTTCTGTATTTTAGATGATAATAACCTGTTAGCTTTGTTCCTGTCTCATAATATTTTC